GGGAGATGCGAGTATGTGTGAAAGAGAGTGTATGCTTGTGAATTTCTGTATGTGTATGTGCACATAGACACATGTTGGATTGTAAGAGCCACCCACTGGATCACCAGAAAGAATCATATCATGTCCTCTCACTGCAGAGACTCTGAAGAGGGCCGGTCCTGGAGAGCCAGCGTTTACCACGGACTCTTCAAAGCCTTCTGTCCCTCTAACACCCACACACACCACCCAACCCTGCACCCCACCCTGTACCCCACCACACATACACACATCATGCACACAGATGCACCACATACATACCACACACATGACACATACACACACAACACACACATACACACACAACACAACCCCACACCACACACACAGACACACACACCACACACATACACCTGCACGCATACACACACCACATGCACACCACACACGCACACATACACACACAACACAACCCTACACCACACACACACACACCACACACACAGACACACACCACACACATACACACCACACACATACCACACACCACACACATACACACATCTCACACACATGACACATACCCCACAGCACACACACTACACACCTCACACCACACACATCACATAACACACACACACACACCACACACATACACACACCACACACACACCGTATACACACATACACACACACCATGCACACATATATACCACACACACTATGCACACACATCACACACATACCACACACACAAACACACCCCACACATACATACACCCACCACACACACCCCGACACATCCCCCACACATACATACACACACCACACACATACACACATACACATACACCACACATATACACATACAACACATACATCAGTACCCCCCACATCATATACACATACACATATACACACACACCACATACATCACACACTTATACCACGTGCACACACACCACACACATACACACACACCACACGCGCACATACACACACCACGTGCACATATATACCACACACACATACACACACCACACACATACACACATACACACATACACATACACCACACATATACACAAACCACACACATACAACACATACATCACGTGCCCCCCCACATCACATACACATACACATATACACACACCACACACATCACACACATATACCACGTGCACACACACCATACACACACCATGTGCACATATATACCACACACAAACACCCCACACACACCACACACATACACATACACCACATATATACACAAACCACACACATACATACAACACATACAGCACACGCCCCTCCCACATCACAAACATACCCATACACACATACACATACACACACCACACACATGCACACACACGACACACACGCACGCATACCCCCTCGGATCATTCTACCCTCGGAAGTGCGGCCCTGAGGGCTTGGGCCCAGCATGTTGTCCTGATGGGGAGGCGCCCCGAGGATTCTCTAGGGAGTGGGACCTGGCACTGGCTTGGGGTAGAAGCCTCTCTTGCAGACGGACAGGCAGACTTGAGGGCAGGGGGCAAGTGTGGACACTGACATTTCTCCTGCAGCACATTTCATTTCCTCTGGCCTGTGGAAGCCCCTCCGTTACCCCCAGACCTCGCATCTGACCTGGCTGCAGCTATGTGATTTGGGAAGGTGGTGCCGTGGGACATGAAGAGACAGGCAGGAGAGGCAGCTGTGACCCTCCCCGGACCTCGCTGGCTGAGCACGGTAGGATAGCAGCACTTGCCATTGAGAGGAAGGTGGTCTCGAGTTCAGACGCTTTCAGCAGGAAAGTGGGCAGGGACCCCAGAGGCGCTGGGGGTGGTCAGCTCGGAGAAAGGAACACCACTTGGATGGGATGGCAGTGATGACAGTCCACCCTTCTCAAATACACTTCAGCAATATTTGTGACCATGCCTCGGCCACAGTGTGCTCACTGACCAGAAACATCATGGGGGTCCTTATGGAGCCCCTGGATGGTGCAAACGGCTAAGCACTCTTAACAGAACTGTTGGTGCCCTAGAAGAAAGGCCTGGCCATCTGCTTCCAAAATGTCACAGCCATGAAAGCATTATAGAGGGCAGTCCTACTCTGCACACACAGGGTCGCCATGAGTTGGAGTCGACTCGATAGAACAGGTTTGGTTTTTTTGGAGAGGACCCCTGGAGGTCTGGGGTGTGGCCTGGGAACCTGTATATTTTCTGAGCATTCCCAGTAATTCTGATGAGGGAAGTGTGGGACTCCCTGTACCAGAGGTAGGTGACCCTTGAAGGGGAGTGGGGAGGATGACATTTGGGCTACTCAATAATGTGCTTCAGAGAAGAGATGCAAAAAAGGAGTGATTTGCTTCCAACTCCTTGGAAAGGCTGACTTCCTAGGAGAGGAGATTGTGGGCCACTACCTGATGGAGGAAAACCAGAGCGCCAGACTTTGAATGGGCTCCGCTTCTTTATTTATGCGCCAATCTTCCAACCCTTCTGAACTTCCCAAACAACACGAATCCATCTAAAGTCACACAATCTGTCATCCTGGCGAGCTGGTGATGACACGTCCTATTTCACATTGCTGAATCCTGCTCTCAGTTACTATACTCAACACTGAGAACAAGGATCACTGGGGCAGGAGAGAGGACTGAGTACGCGTGCAGACTTTATTTTATTTATTTTTGAATGAATTTACTATCAGAGTCTTTCTTCCAGAAGGGAAGAGTCTAAAGTTACCCTTTAGAACAGATCATACTCAGATTTTCCCGTTGTGTGGCAAACTTTTTTTTTTTAATGTTTTAAAAGCAGTCATCTTCTTTCTTCCTTAATAACCAAAACAGCACAAGATTAATCAAAGAGCAAAAGTGATAATACAGATGCCTCTGTAATTTCAGGTAGCTTTCACACAACTTTTGATTGGGATATATATATATAGATAGATAGATAGATAGATATAGATATAGATATATATCAGAGAACGCTGATAATTACCTAAAATAGCAGACCTTCTGTAGTCCAGTTTTTGCACTACATAATAAAACCCCAACTCACTGCTATGCTTTAAATGCCAGCAGTGGCATTTTTTTCACTAATTATACATTTTACAGCATTGAATCTACCTACCTAAGTGTAGGTCTTATGATATTTGGGAAAATTTTTGATATACAAATAGTTAATTGTGGCCTGATTGAAGTGAGGCCTATGGATTTAACAAAACCACAATAAAGCAAAGAGGAGCCTTCGATCATCTGCCACTGTCATCAGTCCTCAGCTCTCTCAGCATTTTAAAATGACAGAGATACAGCCTGTAACACTGGTGGATTCTTTTTCCCATTCTAGTCACTGGAGCCCTGGTGGTGCAGTGGTTAGGCACTTGGCTGCTAACCGAAAGGCCAGCAGTCTGAACCTACTCAGCAGCTCCAAGGGAGAAAGGCCCGGTAATGTGCTTCTGTAAAGATCTACAGCCTTAGAAACCCTATGGGGTAATTCTACTCTGTCCTATAATGTTGCTGTGAGTCAGAATCGACTCAACGGCAAGAGGTTTTGTTTTGTTTTTTGATTTCCTCCATGGTCCATTACTGTGCTCCCCCGTATGCCTCACTCCATGGACAAAACCTCTGGAGTGCAGACTTACCTGGCCGACCAACGCATGGCTGCACCCAGGACCCCTAAATCCACCGGCAGCTACACAGCCCCTGAGTGTCTACAATTTATAATATAAACCCACATCCTGGAATCTTAATGCAGGGTATGATGTTAACATACAACTAATTATGAAAGATATGTAACATTCATGGAGTATGTAACAGAATGTGTATTAGCAATTTTAGTCTCTAAGGCTTCCATCCTAATGTGAGTGAATGAGCATCCAGCATCTCAGAACCTTAATATAATTCCGCTCTAAAGTTATAAAGACTATGAAACTGAACAAAGGAACACATTTACACAACTGCTAGGAGTTATTTCTGTATAAAATACAACTAAATGCCTATTTACCAGGTGCTTAATCCCCGTGGTAGAAATTACAGACATAAAATAAAAATGTTTTTGGTGTCTCTTCTGATGCTTCTCTTAATAACAGTAAAAGCAATTGTCACAAAGAATCCCACAGCTGGGGGACAAAATAGTCACAAGTAAATAGGAAAAAAAAAAAGGAAAAAACAGGAGGCACAAATACATTACAAACTGCATCACGATACACGTTTGTCTTGCTATTAAAAACTTAAACTCACCCAAAACCTTTCCAGATATGACTTATACTTATTAACAAATGTGACTTTCATTTGTTTAAAGTGAAGGAAAGTAAAACACTCAGCATATTCTTGCCCCCAGTTTTAGAAATGCTATACGTGTAATCTAAATCGGCTCTTTTTAAAGTTGGTGCCTCTGCTTTCCCTTTTAAATATGGCAAAACCCGTTGCTGTCGAGTCGATCCTCACTCATAGCGACCCTACAGGACAGAGCAGAACTGCCCCATAGGGTTTTCTAGGTTGCAATCTTTATGGAAGCCAACGGCTACATCTTTCTCCCACAGAGCAGCTGGTGGGTTCGAGCGCTGACCTTTGGGTTAGCAGCTGACTGCTCCACCACTGTGCACCAGGCCTCCTTTTTAAAAAATATGGTAAATATCCTCTAAACAGTCCAGAGACTTAATTTTGTCAGAGCTTCTGCTGGCTCAGTTGGCTTCATGGTTTCTTCCCAGGAATGAAGGGCAAGGGTCCGCATCCCGCCCCAAACAAGCCAGCTCCAGATTTGTCAAGTTGGGGGCTGGAAATTCTACCCTGGAGCTTTGCATGCATTTCTGTCAGCATCTGCTTCTACATTCACAGATGAAAAGCATCATTCCCGGACAAGAAATCAGACATGAAGGAGAGAGGGTCTAGTTGCTTGGAAAAAAAAACAAAACAAAACCAAAAGGGTCACTTGTTTCATGAGGCGAATGCTTCCTGCTACACTTCCCCTAAGGGAAAAGCGGAGCTGCCACAGCTTTCATGGAGGCCTCCATTTTCTTCATGATGAAAGGTTTGAAAAGGTGGACCTTTGAGAGGAAATACTGCAGACTTCCAGATTGGTGAACGAGCTTCCCGCGTCACTTGGATACTCTGGGTAGGAGGCACTGGATGAGATGATATTTTTGAGCCTCTGGAGGGCAATGATTAAAAGCAGGAGCAGGAAAGCTAAAAGGCTGAGGAATATGGACACATAGATGTAGACGTTGGACAGGTGGCCTGGGGATGGGTCCACTGATGTGGACAGGGAGGTGGGAAAGAGCTCCACGAAAGTTCCGTTCTCCACGCTTCCCACAAATCCAGATGAAGGGTCAGCTTCGGACATCTTTATGGAGAGTGAATAAATGAACAAGTATATTGAAAGTCAAAGTTTCACACTGAGGTTAAAAAGAAGAGAATTGGCTTTTTTTTTTCATGATAGTGTCAGCAAAAATTGCAGGGCGTTTAATCATCGATACAAGATGTCTTGCTTTTCAAACAAAGGCAGCAGGAATCAAGTATCCATTGAGACTGCAAAAAATATATATATATATTATTCATGATATTCAGAAAATATTACATTTCATTTTTAGTTTTACTTTTTATTTCAGCAATAGTTAGTTATAAAACCCACCAGGGATGGAAAAAAAATGAAATAACTCCCTCAGGAATGAGTAACGTTTACATCATTTATATTGCAAATGATGATATAAAGCTGAACTTTTATTATATCTCCACAGTACCCTAGCTGCCAGTTTTCTGTAAGGAACTAAAGATAAGATAAAAAGGAAAATACACTTCTGACGTGCTCCATCTGTTGGGACTTCAACAGATGAGCCAAGTGGATGGTTTGAGCATCGAACCCAAAAAAGTGAGCCCCAGAGTTCCCTCCTCTAGGAAATTAATCCCACCCATTTCCCAGCACCCCAGCAAAGTTCCTGGCCAGGCTTTCCCTCCAGTATATTTCAGGAAGCACTGCACACGTATGTTTGCTTGATGCTGAAAGTTTATATCATACATTGCTTTTTTAATAAAATTTTTTATCTTCTTATGGTCAGAGGCTATTTCTATGTATTTTTTTTTTACAGGTACCTATGGTTAATGGAAGAAAACTCATTTACAACCTGTGATATGCAGATGACACAACCTTGCATGTTGAAAGTGAAGAGGACTTGAAGCACTTACTGATGAAGATCAAAGACCACTGCCTTCAGTATGGATTACACCTCAACATAAAGAAAACAAAAATCCTCACAACTGGATCAATAAGCAACATTATGATTAATGGAGAAAAGGCTGAAATTGTCAAAGGTTTCATTTTATTTGGATCCACAATCAACGCTCCTGGAAGTAGCAGTCAAGAAATCAAACAACGCATTGCACTGAGCAAATCTGCTGCAAAAGATCTGTTTAAAATGTTAAAAGGCGAAGATGTCCCATTGAAGAGTAAGATGCGCCTGACCTAAGCCATGGTGTTTTCAGTCACCTCATATGTTTGTGACAACTGGACAATGAATAAGGAAGACCAAACAAGAATTGATGCCTTTGAATTATGGTGTTGGTGAAGAATGTTGAATATACCATGGACTGCCAAAAGAACGAACAAATCTGTCTAGGAACAAGTGCAGCCAGAATGCTCCTTGGAAGCCAGGATGGCAAGACTACGTCTCATATACTTTGGACATGTTATCAGGAGGGACCAGTCCCTGGAGAAGGACATCATGCTAAGTAAAGTAGAGGGTCAGCAAAAAAGAGGAAGACCCTCAACGAGATGAACTGACACAGCGGCTACAACAATGGGCTCAAACACAGCGATGATTTTGAGGATGGCGCAGGACCAGGCAGTGTACCGTTCTGTTGTACATAGGGTTGCTATGAGTCACAACCAACTCAACAGCACCTGACAACAACAGTAGTAATGTGCTCGGCTACTAACCAAAAGGTTAGAGATTCGAGTCCACCCAGAGGCCCTTTGAAAGAAAGGCCTGGCAATCCATTTCCAAAAAAATCAGCTACTGAAAACGCTATGGAGCGCACTTCTAGCCAACACACGCGGGGGTCACTAGGTGTCGGAGTCTGGACAGTAATGGGTTAAGTCCTTTGTTCTGCATACTTTAGGCATTGAATAAAACACTAGATTAACTTAGAGGAAGAAAAGAGGGTGGATTCCCTTTGAATGGTAGAAAGAGCACTAGGTCTGATGTCAAGGGACTAAGGTTTGAGGCCTGAATTCATCATTATCTTCGGGGCAAACTACCTAAATTTCCGAAGCTTCATGTTTCTCATCTGGAAAATGGCATATGACGTCTGCCCTACCTCCTTGCTATGTCATTTAGGAACCAAGATAATACACACAGAAGTACTCTGTCAACTGCAAAGGGCCAAGTCAAAATGAGTTTCTTTTGTGTGTGTGTGTGTTAAGGGGTTGGCAAGTGGAATTCGTTCTTGGCCAGGAGCGAAGAAATGCTCTTCAGCCTTTCCCTTTCCTGTGTGATCCCGGTGAGGAATATCTGGAAGCTGAGTAGACAGGGAATGAGCAGGTAGTGACTGGGATAAGCCTGAGTTTCCAGGCTCCAGGCAGTGGTGCAGAATGTCCCCAATACCCTATCCTCTGTGATTTGAGGTTTCTGCCTGGGCCTCCAACCCACTAAGGCCGGGGGAGAAACATGAGAGAAAGTGATTGCTCCTGTAGGTGGCTCTCTTCCTTCAAGTCCAGAAGAGGTGCCCTCCCTATCTCTATATGGCATTCGTTGCTTTGTTGTTGGGTGCTGTCGAGGCGATTCCGACTCATGGTGACCTCATGTGACAGAGTAGAACTGCCCCATAGGGTTTCCTAGGCTGTAATCTTTACTGGGAGCCCTGGTGGCACAGTGGTTAAAAGCTTGGCTGCTAACAAAAAGGTCAGCTGTTCGAATCCACCAGTCACTCCTCGGAAACCCTATGAAGCAGTTCTACCCTGTCCTATAGGGTTGCTATGAGTCGGAATCAACAGCAACAGGTTAATCTCTTTGGGAGCAGATTGCCAGGTCTTTCTCCTACGGAGCTACCGGGTGGGTTTGAACCGCCAACCTATTGGTTAGAAACCACGTGCTTAACCACTGGGCCACCAGGGCTCCTCTCCTCGCTTTAGGTGTGATGAAAGGCTCATCCCTGAACACCCACTTTGCTCCTAGCTTTCCCTTTTCCCAAACTCTCTGCCCTGCATTTTACCTTCAATACTTTCATTTCCCTTCTGTTCTCCAAATCTAATTACACGGCTGATCCTTGGAGAGGTTGACATTTGTCGCTGCGGCCAGAGCTGAGCGGCAGTAATGATCCCTGGGAAGAAGGGGACACGTGAGAGGGCCGTCCCTGCCTGGTGTCGTGCAGACTAATGAGTTCTAGTGACTTCTCGGAGGAGACCAGGGATAATGTCTTAGCAATCTGTTGCTGTTGCATTGATTCTGACTTCTAGCGACCCTACAGGACAAAGTAGAACCGCCCCATCGGGTTTCCTAGGCTGTAATCGTTATGAAAGCAGATCACCAGGTCTTTCACCATGGAGCCGCTGGCTGGGTTCATACTGCTATTCGTACCACTGACCTTTCGGTTAGTGGCTGAGGGCTTAACCATTGCACCATCAGGGCTCCTTAATGTCTTAGTAGTTCCTGGAATAATTTGACTCCTACTCCTACTTCCCATTATGCTTTGCCCGGTGATTTTAATTCTACTAGGTTGCTACAGGCTCCTAACAATCCTAAAAAAAAAAAAAAAAAGGAATTATAGCGGGACTGGAAATTCATCTCACTGATATGGCAATACCTAGCCTTTGTACCGCACCGGTGGTACACGTTCCAGCTGTTCATCTTGGGGGATATAACAGAATTCCAAAGGGAGCAGTGTGCACAGGATGGAAACGGGATAGAAATCTCACAGCCTGAATGGGAAGAAAGAGCAAAGTGTTCTGGAACCGTCCCCTAAGTGTCACTGAGGGAAAGTAGAGACGAAGAGGTTAATTGATTTGGCAAAAGTAATGCATCTCATTAATAAGGAGTCCCGGTGGTGCAATCCTCAAGCACTTGGCTGTTAATTGAAAGGCTGGCAGTTTGAACCCTTAATCGGCTCCAAGGGAGAAAGACCTGGTGATCTGCTCCTATAAAGACTACAGCCTAGGAGACCCTATGGGGCAGTTCTGCTCTGTCTCCTGGGGTTGCCATGCATCAGGATCTGCTCCACGGCACCTAACAACAACAACGACACATCTAATTAGTAGACAAGCCAGCACTTCAGGCTTCTACCTGCCCTCACCCCTTATATCATCCAGGGTTGATCTTTTAATCATTTTGGTACTACGGATTTTACATCATTTCCTTTCTAACAGGGGCAAAGAAGGTAGGGATTATGTACCCTGTTTGACTCTCACAACTACTTTGTAGGAGAGGAAGAGCAGGGATTTTTATACCCATTTTACAGATGAGAAAATGGAGGTGCAAAGACGTGATTTACTCGGAGTACACAGTGACAGAGAAGTGACTAGAACCAACCCATATCTGAACTGTGTTGTTAGTTTTCTCAACTGTGGTAGGAACAGAACATTTTTGAGACTTGAGTGCTTCATTCCATCTGCCACTTACTTTGGGCAAGCACACAGGTGTGTGCCAGAAGAACAAACACATCTGTCTTGGAAGAAGTACACCCAGAATGCTCCTTAGAAGCAAGGATGGCGAGACTTCGTCTCACGTACTTTGGACACGTTATCAGGAGGGACCAGTCCTTGGAGAAGGACATCATGCTTGGTCAAGTAGAGGGTCAGGGGAAAAGAGGAAGACCCTCAACGAGATGGACGGACACTGCAACAGGGGGCTCAAGCATAACAAATACTGTGAGAATCGTGCAGGACGGGGCAGTGTTTCATTGTGTTGTACACAGGGTCGCTATGAGTCGGAACCCCCTCAACGGCACCTAACAACAACAGCAACATCTCTCCTGCCTCTCAAGGAGGTCCTGAGTTAGGATGTGATGTTCACACGAGGCAGTGGTGGTTCAGTGGTAGAACTCTTCCCTTCCTCATGGGAGACCTGGGTTGGATTCTGGCCCATGCACCTCATGCGCAGCCACCAGCCATCTGTCAGGGGAGGCTTGTGGGTTGCTGCGATGTTGAACAGGTTTCAGCAGAGTTTCTAGACGAAGACAGACTAGGAAGAAACACCTGACAATCTACTTCCAAAAATCAGCCAGTGAAAACTCTGTGGATCACAATGGTCTGATCCACAACTGATCACGGATATGGTGCAGGACCGGGCAGCATTTTGGTCCATCGTGCCTGGGGTCACCAGGAGTCTGGGGCTGACCTGACAGCAGTTAACA